AATATTTTTACAAAGTCCATACATAAAAATCCCTTATCAAATAAAAGTACAAAACACACACAAACAAAACGAAACCTCAATTGGGAATTACACCAAAGGGTTAACCATCCGGTGAAGCTATACTCTTGGCTATGGGCTACCTGAATTTCAAGCCATTTTTTGGACTTCTGAAAACTCACTTTCTCGGCAGTGGGCTGGCCCCAGCCCAGACCAAGCCATAAGGGTCACAGCCCTGGCCCAAGTCAAGCTAAAGGGGCCATAGCACGGGCCCAGACCAAGCCAAAGGGGCCACAGCCCGGGCCCTGACCAAGCGAAAGGGGCCATAGCCCAGGCGAAGCCTACTATTGGGCATAACATCGGCCTTTTGATGGAGTCAAGAGGGATGGGTAGGGCCAATATATGAAAATTTTCTTTAGATTCATAAAAAAAAATAGAGTAAAAGCTGAGGCCAAGTCAAGGCCCAGCTTGGCTGGAGGGCCTTGGCTCGAACCCGACTAGATTTTAGTCTGTGCCCTACCCTAAGGACAAATTTAATGGCCCATCTAAGTCCAGCTTATGCGACCCGACCCATTACCACCCCTAGGACCAGAGTCTCTCGTTGACTTTGACGTTAAACGTACACAAGATACATGGGAAGACCCATTCGGAAGCCCGAATGTCCCAGTCAATGCATTTAAATGGTGTCAAACTCATCCCCTTCAAAGACTTCAAAAAACTTATGCCCTCAATCCCATATTTCCCCAACCCAATTTTGCAGCAAAGATTATTCATCAAATTGTCAAAATCTAATAATAATTAAAGATGAATGATTCAATTTCTTGTGAAATTTTAGTTCAAATATAACTTATGTTGCACTAAATTAGTTTTATAATAGTTTGATGTTTTAAATAGTAAGTGTGGAGAGCAAGTGTAATATTCTTAAAGGAAAATTGTTTGATACGGCTAGAGCTTGACAAAATAAGTAAAGCCTCACCTCATAACCCATCAAAATTTGCAATTGAGACATTGTAAAACCTTTACATCGATCATCTCAGCTAGAACATTATGCATGTGAAAAAAAATTCAGATTTAAAGTTCTAAAAATAATACACATGATCTAAACCATCTATTTTGCCTTAAAAATAAGTGTTCATAGATCCATAAGATGTATCACTTTGCGGTTTCAAATTTTATTATCGGTATCGAAAATTGATTTTAGAAACATCATGGAGATATCCATTATCGAAAGTGCTTTCAGACGAAGATTTGAAGTAAGGTTTTATTTTATTTTCATAAAACCTAGGCCTTACATAAACTTCATCCTTTATTAAAATAAGATGTACCATTATTTTAACCGTTATAAATTAGTTTATATACCATGGTCAAGCCTTGACCCATGAGAAAGTAGGTGTAGACCCTGACTACGTCAAGAGTATAACCGTGTCCTAAGAGCTTAATACTTCAGAATGGTGTTGAGTGGGATACAAAAACTACTAAACTACCCCAATCTTTACTGCATATCACACCATCGGACGACTTGGGTCCTTTTTTATTGTGGTCTCTGTATTTTTTCAGAAATTACGCTAATATCCCTCTACCGATATTAGCGTAAGTTTTTTTGCTTTTTATGACCAACTGGTTAAGGACTATTAGTTTCAATATTTCTGATCATGTAATTAAATATGTGTAATTCTCTCTTATTAATAAATCTTTGAACATTTGTTAAAAAAAAGAAAAAAAAAATCTATTGGTTTCAAACTAGTGTTTTGTGCATGGAAACATGTAGTTATGAAGTGAAGTGGTGATAAAGACATCGGTTCGGTTTCTGCTCGTTCCAATATGTTGTTTTGTCCACAAAAACAGTTAGAGATGAAGACATCAGTTCAGGACCAGCACCAATGAACAAAATACAAAATATTTAAGAAAAAAAAAGAAGAAATGAGCATAAAATATATCTTATTGAATTATTGTAGGTAAACACGTGGCATTTTCTTTCTTGGTTCGCACATTCACGTAGGGTGGGGTGCATAAGGCATTCTGAATAATCTTGCGGTTATCTAAAGTCCAACACTTTTTCTGTTTCTCTACTACACTTGTAGAGTCCAACATTTCCTCTCTCTCTCTAAAGTCCAATACTTCCTCTCTCTCTCTCTCTCTCCTACGACCTGTCTCTCTCTGATTTTCTTTGAATTTCTCCCCCCTTTAACGGCAAATCCACGGAAACTGACCCTCATAAATCACATCTCTCTCTCTCTC